AAACCAACTAGAACCTAAGATTGAACTTCTTTAATTGATAATTTATCGCGAAAAATGGGAATCAAAGAAATAAGAAGAAAAAGGAGACTACTGTAGCTAGAACCATCCCCACTCAATTCATAAAAAAACTACAATTCTGGGTTTTCAATTTCTTTTCCCCTTTGGAAGGGTAAATATGGAAACATTCAAGATAGAGAATAAGAAGACATACATGAGCTGACTGGTAATGGAGTCCTACTGATTTGAGGGAGCTAGAATCAAAGATCCTGTCGCCAACCTCTCCCCCAACCTGGCGAATGAATTGTGCATCGTCAACCTGGCAATGCATGTCTGTCCCTCGTGCTCAAAACCCAAGTCAGAAATGGTGAAAGGAGAAATGGGTATTTAACCTACTAAGGAAAGCCGGAGGAAGAAGGATCCTGGGTTCCTCGCGAACCCAGGATCTGATTTTCAGAAGGCAAAGCTGAAAAAAAAAAAAGGAGAAATGGGTATTTAACCTACTAAGGAAGGCCGAAGGAAGGAGGATCTTGGGTTCGCGAGGAACCCAGGAGCCTGGGTTCTTCACGAACTCGCAAGCTGGGTTTGTCACAAGCTACCCAGGAGCCTGGGTTCGCAAGGAACCCAACTCACGGGTTCGTGATGAACCCAGGCGCCTGGGTTCATCGCGAACCCACAAGCTGGGTTCCTCGCAAACCCGCGAGCTGGGTTCGTCGCAGGCTACCCAGGAGCCTGGGTTTGTCGCAGCTCTTGATAAGTACGACTTCGATTCTGAGCTCGGAACCAAGGTGAGCTTTCTATTTCATTTAGTCAATTTATCAATTGATGGTATTTGCTTGGATTGAAGGTAAATTCTGAATTATGCAAATTGGGTGCTGATTTTAGTGTTGATTTTGGGCAATGCTTCATGTCTAGTTAGAGATTGAGTTGTTGAGGTGAAAGATATTTTCTTTTGAGTTGGATATGTGTCTTTTGTTCCAATTCTTTTTAAAATTTCAAGATGCATTCCATGGTATACAGTAATATGTGAAGCATGCGATGAACCCAGGCTCGTGGGTAGCCTGCGACGAACCCAACTTGTGGGTAGCCTAGGTTCGCCTGGGGGTTAAAAGGAAAAAAAGAAAAAAAAAAAAAAAGGTCGGAGGAAGTGGAGTCCACGTAAGCATCTTATACATGTTGGCATATCCACATCAGCTGTTTCAGTTAAGTTAACGTGCCACGAGAGCAAAAATTAACGGAAGGACCAAAAATGGGCCGGATTTGTGAACAGTAAGGACTAGAAAAGGGATTTTTTTGGTATAGGGACCAAAAAGAGGCTTTTCTTATAGTAGAGGGATCAAAAAGGGTATTTAACCTTATAGATATGATTACGGGAGGCCTGGAAGCAGGAGGTTTGAGCTCTAAACAGCGAAAGTTGTATGTTAGAGAGGTCAAACATCAAAACCGAGCTCATAAACAAAAGTTTGACGATGCTGATTGGAAGAATCAACCCATCACTTTCACATCTACTGATTTCGACACAGTTGTCACACCTCACACTGATCCTTTGGTCACTTCTGTCATAATTAACAACTGTGAGGTGCAACGTGTTCTTGTTGACACAGGGAGTGCACCAGACATCATGTACTTTCACTGTTTTGAGAGTCTTGGGCTGGATCCAGCTTTGTTGCAGTGGTACGATGGTCCCATCTATGGATTCAAAACCAACTAGTTCAAGTAGAAGGAGTTCTTACCCTCAATGTTGCTTTTCAGAGTGGCCGAACTTATGTTACCCCTTTAGTTCGGTTTCTAGTTATCAAAATGACGTCCTTTTTCAATGTTGTTATTGGCCAACCTACACTAACTGAAATTCGAGCTGTGGTTTTCCAATCTCACCTCTGCATGAAGTTCCCAACTCCCATAGGGATAGCAACACTACAAGGCAACTAGGAGGTAGCCAGACATTGTTATATCACCTCGGTCACAAGACCTCAGAAAGGCAAAGATCAGACGCCGGAAGCCATTCCCCAACAGATTCCTGACAATCAGCAAGTCATGGGTGTTGAAATAGTAGATAACCGACCATAGGATGAACCTAGAGCTGCTCTAGTTGAGGATGTCGAGGAAGTGCACATTGACGACAGAGATCCAAGCCGAAAGACGCAAATTGGAACTCGATTGAGCCCGGAGGAAAGATTAGAGCTAATGGCTTTTCTCCGAGTTAACAACGATGTTTTCGCTTGGACTTCGGTAGACATGCTAGGAATTCCAACCTCGGTATCCCAGCATAAGCTCAGCACCAATCCATTGAAGAAACCAGTAGCCCAGAAGCGACGTCTCTTCGGGGGGGAGAGGCTTCAGGTCATAAAGGAAGAGGTAAAGAAGCTTCTACAAGCTGGTTTCGTCAGAAGAGTTGACTATTGCGAATGGGTGGCTAACCCAGTGCTGGTCAAAAAGGCAAATTGTAAATGTCGAATATGCATCGACTACACAAATCTCAACCAAGCTTGCCCTAAGGACTGCTATCCAATGCTGAGCATTGACAAACTAGTTGAAGCGGCTTCGGGAAATGAGAGATTAAGTCTCTTGGATGCATATTCTGGGTATCACCAAGTGCCGACGGCTCTGAAGGATGAAGAGAAAACCTCATTCTATGTTGGTGACAAAATCTATTGCTATGTAATGATGCCATTTGGCTTAAAGAACGCAGGTGCTACTTATCAGAAAATGATGACCATTATCTTCCGAGCTTAGATTGGCAAGAATTTGGAAGTTTATGTCGATGACATTGTGGTAAAGAGCCTGAAAGCAGAAGACCATCTAGCTAATCTCGATGAAACTTTCAACAACCTCAAAAAGAATAGAATGCGGTTAAACCTAGCCAAATGCATCTTCGACGTGGAGTCTGAGAAATTTCTAGGCTTCATGGTTTCTCGAAGAAGGATTGAGGTCAATCCAGAAAAGATCAGAGCAATTGCTAAGATGGAATCGCCGAAGTTAGTAAAAGATATACAGAGGTTAATTGGAAGGGTGGCAGCTCTTCATAGGTTCATATCGAAGTCATTAGATAAGTGCTTGCCATTTTTCAAGATCATGAGGTCAGTTGCCCAGAAAGACGAATCAGGCAAACAGAAGAAGTTTGAATGGAACCAAGAATGCCAAGCCGCATTCGAGGAGTTGAAGTCTTATCTTAGCTCACCACCCCTACTGACTAAGGTTATAGATGGAGAGATTCTCTATTTGTACCTTGGAATTTCAGATAAAGCAATTAGTTCAGTTCTGGTGAGAGAAGAAGCCAAACAACAGAAACCAATTTATTATATCAGCAGCGTGTTGCATGGCACATAACTGAGGTATCCTATTGCTGAGAAAGCAGCATTAGCAGTTGTCACTTCAGCCAGAAAGCTGAGGCCATATTTCCAGTTACATCCAATCATCATCCTCACAGACCAACCTCTTTGACAAATTCTACAGAAGCCAAAGTGCTTTGGAAGATTAATTAAGTGGGCAGTAGAACTGGGCGAATTCGAGATAACATTTTAGTAGAGATTTGCAATTCGAGCTCAAGCACTGGTAGATTTCATCGTAGAATGCACTCCATGTCATTCAACCCCTAATCCCGAGCCCAACGACTAGACCTTATATGTTGATAGAGCATCTAGTAGCAAGGGTTCAAGAGCTGATGCTCTCTTAATTGGCCCATATGGATACCGAAGTGAACATGCTCTGAAATTTAACTTTGATGCAACAAACAACATGGCTGAGTATGAAGCTCTACTACTTGGTTTGCAACTAGCATTAGAGTTGAAAGTCATGGCGATACGAGTATATAGTGACTCACAGCTTGTGGTTAATCAAGTTAACTCAATCTGCGAAGTCGTTGATCCTGTGATGGTGAAATATGTAGCCCTAGTGGCCGACCTGAAGTGAAAATTCCAGAATTTCTGTTTGAACAAAATTCCCCGAACTGAGAATGAACAAGCAGATTCACTTTCTAAGTTCACCTCTGATAGCTCTTTAAGGTTCAGATCAGTTTTTCTAGAAGTCTTAGATGAATCAAGCTTCATGAAGCCACGAATGATGGAGATCAGCACATACCCGGACACACTGAGCTGGACTGACTCAATTATCTCCTTTTTACGAGACGGGACAGTGCTTGAAGACAAGCAAGAGGCAATGACGTTGAGGAAGAAAGCATCTCGGTATACACTCGTCGATGGGGTCCTCTATAAGAGATCTTTCTCACTCACTTTTCTACGGTACTTGAATCCTTATGAAGCTAAGTATGCACTTTGGGAGGTGCATGAAGGTGTCTGTGGGAGCCACATTGGTGCTAGAACTTTGGCTCACAAAGTCCTAAGGTAGGGATATTACTAGCCAAATATGTATAAAGATGCTACTCACTTCGTTTAGAGATGCCCGAAGTACTAATTCTTCGCACATCTGACTCACCAACCAGCAGAAGAGCTCACGAACTTGGTAGCACCGTGGTCATTTGCTCAGTGGGGACTTGATCTTTTAGGCCCATTCATGAAAGGGGTTGAAAGTGTAACCCATCTAATTGTTGGAGTTGATTATTTTACAAAATGGGTTGAAGCTCGGCCATTGTTTAGTCTTACTTCCAGAAAGGTCGAAGACTTTGTTCTTGGCTCAATTATCTGCAGATATGGGATCCCGAACCAGATTATGGCTGACAATGGTACTCAGTTTAACTGCTCTTCTTTTCGAGATTTTTGTTCCAACTATGAGATCAAATTACAGTTCACCTCTGTTTACCATCCAGAGTCCAATGGTATGGTACACTGCAAACAAAGTGCCTTATACCAATGGAAGGCTATACCAATGGACAAGAATCTGTCTGTATAAAACCATGTATACCAACAGAAAATTGGAGCAGTCAGTATACATTAGTCTATACCAACGGAAAAATATAACAGTTAGTATAAAATAGGTTTATACAAACGGTTAATTTATTATCTGTTTGTATAGTGTATATCTATACAAACGGATTACTATATTTTGTCAGTATAATTCACTGTATCTGAAACGCTTTTTAATTTTAGCCGATCGCACTGCAACAATCATTTCACTTCCCTCCCTGTATTCCCAAATCTCCCTCTCAAAATCCCTAGCTTCCCTCTCCCAAATCTCCACAATTTGTATTTGATTTTTTGATAAAACTCAAAGACCCATTCAGCCGGCGGTAGAAATTTTCACTTCCCTTCACAAATTCCCAAATTTCCCTCCCGAAATCCCTAGCTTCCCTCTCCCAAATCTCCACAATTTGTATTTGATTTTGATAAAACTCAAAGACCCATTCAGTCGACAGTAGAAATTTTCACTTCCCTCCATAAATTCCCAATTTTTTCTCCCTTAATCCCGAGCTTCCCTCCCTAGGTAGACCTAGGTGTTTCACCCCTCTCCCAAATCTACAAAATCTGTAATTGATTTTGATAAAACTCAAAAACCTAAGTGCTTTGGTTCCCATCCAAGCAGTCCGCCCCCTCGCCCTTGTCTGCATCCACAACATCACCTCCAGTCACCACCTTGTCCCTAGCAACGGCCACATCCCTAGGGCCACCCTTCCCCACAACACACTTTCCAGATGCCTCCGGCTCCAAAACACTGCCAACCACAACCTCGTCAAACCCATCAGGAAGCCGAGGCATCATGCCGATCAAAGCATCTCCCTTGGCGTTGTAGGGACTAGGATCTTCTAGGCAGCCAAGTTCTTCATCATCATCATCATCGACGTCGAAGAGCTTGGCTTCATGGCAGAGGCAACTTTGGCATCTCCCTTGGCATCTCCCTTGGCGTTGGAGCTGCAAGACCTAGCAAAGCAGCAAGGTTCAATACTCCGCCGCCATGGGTCGTATGCACAGTCGAGGGTTTGTTCTTTCACCTTACTTCTTCTTTGGAATTCATCCCTGTGAAACCATCTTTACCTGCTGTTTTGATTTGTTTGTTCTTCAGTAAGGGTATTTCTGCGTCTGCTTTGCCGTACAAGAGGACTCCACCCAGTTGGTTGAAGATCTCTTCTCAGGATGTAAGCGACTTAACCCTAATTTTGTTCCATCTTTAATTTATTTCCTGTGTCTGGGACTTGTTTGGTTGCTGAGAAGAGGGCAGGATTATTGTACTTCATTGGATGAAACATGAATTTGAGTTGTGTTTCCATTATTTTCTGTTTTTCATGTCTTTTTTTTTTATCAATTGTGTATTGCCAACATATCTGTTTTCCCCCTTTGTTTTAGGAGTGATATTGGATGGTAAAATGTAATACAAATACATTGGTAGCCAAATGTTTTTGGTCTTTCCAATGGCATCTCTGATGCCATTTCGTACTGTTATTGGAAAAATTCAACATGTTTGATGGCATAAATTGTGAGGTAGTTCAGAACATTGGTTTGCACACATTGATATTCGGTTAAATATCAGTTCAAATGGTTATTTTTGATGAAATTCTTCTGGTATAAATGGAATTGTGTTGTGAGGATTAGATGGAGTGTCAGTTGTTTGTCCATCCAGTTTTACGTTTAATGTTACCCAGTCTATTTGATGCTTTAAAGCTTAGCTAGCCTATTACTTCATATGTTGATTTGGGAAACACTTCCAGCCTTCTCTTTGATTAACATTTGATGCAATCCTTATTGTTCCCATGTTTCAAATTGCTTACATGCTGAAGCAATCGCAGTGAGGGAAGGCCTAAGACTTGCAGCAGATTGAGGCAATCTCCAGGCTAGACAATGAGGCAGCTAACTGGGTTGCAATAAGCATAAGAAAACGAGAAAGATGATGAGAATCAGCTACTAGGTGCAAACATCACCTCCCTCTCTTACCCACATTTTAGCTACTGACCTCTTTTCAAGTAGTACTGTTCTGTTTTCTGGTCCTGGATAAGCCTCCTATGAGACCACTGAGGCAACGCTATTT